TATATATTATTTTATTATATATTATTATATATATATTTTATATTATTTATATTATATTAATATAAAAATATTTATATATATTATATTAATTATATACCAATAATAAATATAATATAAATAAATATAATTTTATATATACATATACATGTATATAAGAATATGATTGACATTTTTGTTTTAATCGAAAAGAAAGTTAGAAAAATTTGTTTGAAAATGTAAAACGATAAACGAGGAACTTAACAATTAACACGCAACACTGTTTCAAACAGACCAATCGAAATCAATTTAATCCTTTCGTGAATGCGTATATTTCTCTCTCTCTCTCTCTCTGTCTCTGTTTCTGTCTCTATCTCTTTCGTATGTACATCGAATTATATTACTGTCCTTTGTAGTAATCAATACACACGTAAACCACGGTAATTAAATAATCACTGAGCTATGAATCGAGGATATATATATATGTATATTCGTGGATTTGTTGAAGAGCTCGTTTTGTAATAGGATGAGACAATAATCGATAAAATGTTGTATATATCGTACTGATAACGATGCTATATATATGTATTTATCGTTACTCTATTAAAATAGATTTAAATCTTGACAAACGCGTGTATTTAAAACCTTTTAAAATTAATAATAATAATACAGGAATATATTACCCCTTAGAGTGCTAAGAACGCATATATGCGTTTCATAAAAATTACCAAAATGGTCTATCAATGCATATACGTGTTTGTTAATATTAATATCAGATAATGTAATGTTTATATTAAAAGTATTCAACACTCAAAGGTTTAATCATCTAATAATAAAATTAATTGGCAGAATAAAAAGATATTTATAAAAAAAAAAAAAATAATAAAAAGGAAAGTATCGTCGTATTTTAAACAGTAATTGAATTTTCGCGATGTTTAAACAAATGAAAAAAAAAAAACATGTATGCAGATCACATGTGTTAGAAGTAAAACCTTCAAAAATCTAAGTTTCAAGAGTAAGATAATTTTAGGATTTATTTATTATAATATTATTGCGATATATAATAAAGGTCATCGGTATGGTCTCTGGGTGGAATAGCTAATAAAAAGTACACTTTTTCGAATTCAAGCAATAAAAATCGTAGCTTTTGCATAGCGGCCCGTCGCTCCGTTGCCTATCCGTATACAGGCTCTGTAGCCTATTCGTATACAAGCTCCGTTGCCTATTCGTATACAGGCTCCGTTGCCTCGCCATCTACCGGTTTGTTGCCTAAACCACCCATTTCTTTTCAAATCACTCCCTATTCTAAAGAAGTTTTCACTTCAAAAATATTCTCTCATTGGGGGCTCAGTCAGCATCGAAACAAATTTCAACGTTCGGTTCGTTCATCAATCGTCCAGATGACTAAACAAAACAAAAAAATAAACCAAAAGTATCTTTCATAGTTCACAAAGTAGAGATCCTCCTCCTTCTTCTCGTTTACCCAAAAAAAAAAAAACCAAAAAAAAACAAAAAATAAAATAAAACCAAAAGTATGCAAAGAGTGACACACAGTGTGGTGGTCGTGCGTTAATAATTTCTCGTGTTCACACAAACATGCATTCTCATGCATCTTATTGCGTGCTGCTGCTGCTACTGCTGCTGCTGCATCTTGCGGTGTGTATAGAGATAAACCAAAAAAAAAAAAACAACCAAAAGAAAAAGAAAAAGAAATATTTAACAAAATTAACACACATAAATTAAAATAGAAATAATAAAAGCCATGCTTTATGCTTAAGTCGTGCATAGTTCGTAGTCGAAATAGAGAAAAGGAAGAAGAAGAAGAAGAAGAAGAAGAAGTAAAGATATATATTACTAGTATATAAATAAGACTAGTAATATTATATAGTAATAAAAAAAAAAAAAACAAAAGGGGGAGGAACAACAAAGTATTGGACGGGAGACGTAAGGGATTAAAAAAAACAACAAAAAAATCATTGGAAAAAAGAAAAAAAAAACGTTGTTGACACGTTTCTCGAGTCGCATTCGTGTCGTCACGTTCTTTTACCTAACCATAAGACTACGACTCGTGAAAAATGTACGTGAAGGAACGCGTTCGCGCCTAGTAGCATTAAAAAGAAAAAGAAAAAGAAGAGACAAGTGAAGAACTAAAAAAGGGGGTTGGTGGGGAGGGTTAGGAATCAAGGAACGGTGCGAACGTACTGGGAAAAGTCGACAGATTCGACGAATATATTTCTAACGGGGAGGAGGAGGGTTAGATCGTAGATATCTTTGTAGAATACGATAGTAAGATGGATGGATGTGTAGATGGACGGATAGATGGATGGATGGATGGATGGATGGATGGATGAATGGATAGATGGATGGATGGATAGGAAGGAAGAACGACTATGTTGGTTGGAAATTTGAACAATGTACAAGGTACTTGAATGAGTGAGTGAGAAACAGTGAGGAGGGGAAGGGAATGAGGGGTAAAGGGGGATTAGTAATAGTAGTAATAGTAGTAGTAGTAGTAGTACCTTTTCTACGAGACATTGAACGTCGTTTACAAGACTTTCCCCTCAAAACACACTTCTTTCGTCAGTGGAAAATAATGAAAGTAGACAAATGGGAAAAAATTCAGAAGAGGTACGTGGGGGGGGGGTTTAGATTTGTGGTTTGGTTTGTCAGAGGGTGTACGTGGGAAATAAAATAGTGGAAGTAGGTGAGAAAAAAAAAGGAGAATGAGAATTTCCTTTGAATTCTTTTTACGCGAGTGACATGTTAGAAGAAGAAGAGGAGAAAAAAGGGAAAGAAAAAAAGCGTAAGTGTGAATGGAAATGAAAAGAAGAAAAAGAAAAAGAGAGAGAGAGAGAGAGAGAGAGAGAGGGTTGGATAAATGATAGAAATAGAAATAGTAAAAGAAACAGAAAAAAAGATTACTCGAACTTTCCTTCTCTCTACGACGATTTTCTATCAGCTCCCCCCTCCCTACCCCCTATACATCCATGCAACGGCACCTTTTGTTTATATTTGTTGTAAATTTTCGTTTTTTTTTTTTTTTTTATCATTTCTTAATGATAAATCTAGCACACAATATTTGCTCTACAAAATACATGCAGCACAACATGCCACACACAAAAGTTGGAGGAAGGGAATAGAAAAGGTGGATGATGATGGGGGTTAATTTTATAGGGTTGGAGGGGGGGGAGGTGTACTTTTTCGATTTTATCTGCATGATCTGGGATGATCAGAGATTCTATCGAAGAAGAATAAGAAGAAGAGGATGAGGATGAGGAAGAATATGGGAATAAGTGTGTGTGTTTGTGAGTGGATAGGAAAGTTGTGAATGGTTCAGATAGATTTTTTTTTCTTTTTTTTTTTATCTTTTTCGGTGAAAAATCGGATATATCGAGGAGATGTATTATCAAGGATCGTATTATATAAATATATATATATATATATTAATATATATATGTATTTATAATATGTACATGTACGATACTGTACTGTGTCATTTTGGTCGGAGGACCTCGTTGAAGCTTACCCTCTTCCCTTGCTTTCCCCGGGCACCCTTCTCGCCGGTCAGACCGGGTGGTCCTGTCGGACCCAGCTCTCCCTTCTCGCCCTGGGGCCCTGCGTGCGTGTATATACCACGTGCATAAAATAATACATGGATATCTTTTCCTCGTTCCGCCCTTTCTTTTCTTTCTCTTTTTTCTTTTTTTTTTTCTTTTTCAGAACACGCGATGCGATACGATATAAACGGTAAGAAAATAATCAGACTCGTTTTTAAAACAAAATAAATTAATTAATTAATAAATAAATAATTGAATGAATGAATGAATGAGAATAACAAAAAAAAAAAAAAACAGAAAAAAGGGATTACGAATCGTTGTGTTAAAAGAAATGGATTAAAAAATATATCAAAAAAAAAAAAAAATGTGTTAAAATAAATCACGTCAAAGTAAAAAAATAAAAACGAAGCTTTTGTCACGAGCTTTTATAGAAATCATATATGTATATGTATATATGTACCTCTTCTAGTGCACTTCTTTACCCGTTTATAAATTCCCTATTTGGGGAATTAACCGCTTCAGGGCGAACAATGTTTTTTCGCGAAATGAACGAGAAGAGCGTTTGATTTACCACCACCCAATGGTGAACACGATTCAGAGATTTTCGTTCGACGAAATTCTCGAGTTTTTTTTTTTTTATGCTTAAATTAGTTAAGAGTATAGTTATTAATTATGATCTATTACTTTCCTACTAAAATAAATTATTAAAGTTTACATGTTCCTCACACTAAGCGCGCATATATGTTGGGTATTTTTGTGTTTATCTGGATATATGTGTAGGTGGATGTGCATATACGTGTATATGAAATTAATTAATTACTTTAAAGTTACTTAGATAAGTTGCAGTACTTCAATTTGTCTTTTTAATTCGAATTAGTATTACTCGCACGATTTAACGATCTCTTTCTTTCTCTCTTTCTCTCTCTCTCTCTCTCTCTCTTTCTTTGTCTTTTCTCATAACAATTCTTGTTACATCGTCATGCAGTTGTTCAAAGATTAACCGTAAGAAATTCTAAAGTTGTTAACAGTTCTAATCCAAACTATACTTGTTGTTTCAAATACGATTGCACTTTCTCTCTCTCTCTCTTTCTCTCTTTCTCTTTTTCTTTCTCTCTTACTCTCACTTATTCTCTTCATTGTTCTGAAACAGTTCATAGAAGAGAGAAACTACTTCGAAAGATAGTTGCTCTCGAAGAAATAGTTTCTACGAAAAGTAACCACCGTCCTTGTACGTTGAAATTTTACTCTTGGATTAAAACTGTAAAACTTCATTCTCATGGGTAGGAGGTAACGTTTTGCCAATTTATTTTATATATATAATATATTACACTACGGCAGGTTGAAATTAATTTTTTACATATAACTAAAAAAAAAAAAAAAAAAAAAATAACAGAAGAATGAAAGTATGTACGAAATTTTTCCGACAAATGAATGAAAATAAGTTTGGTTGGTTTACTTATATATATAAAATATATTATATATTTAAATATATTATATATATAAATTATTTTATATATTTTATAATATAAAACTTTTATAGAATCTTATTTACTATATATAAAATATATAATAATTTAATTTTATTTAATTATATATTAAATTTATATTTATATTTTTTTTATAATTATTTTATATATTTAAATTTATTTAACACATTGAACGCCACACGAATTCTTACAAAAATCTTCTTCAAGCCACGTGTGGCAAAACGAAAAGTTAAGTATCAAGCACAAACGCCTGACACGACCTGAACATGAAGATCAATGTCAATCATTGATGACTGACGTGGCAGTCAACGTGTTAAATAAACATTTAAAGTAACTTCTTCTTTTTTTTTTTTTTTTAAATCGTTTAAAATAAAGTGGAATCAAATAATCTTAACCTTCGATCAGAAGAAGTCTTTTGATTTCTACGAAGTTAACACAAGTGTTCTTAACATAGTAAGATATGTATACACGCGTATATACATATATAGACGTCCATTCGTTTTGAATGACGAGCAATGAATACCGTCTGTGCGACTCGTTAAAGAAGCATACTCTCGCGCATGACGAAGCTTAATAATCTCGTTATAACGCCGCAAGGCTCTTTTACGGATCTATCACGGTATTACATTACTTAGAGAACCATTACGACGTTAAAGCTACCGTTTAATAATTCCAAGCAAACCAAAGGTGGGTAGTAGTAGTATTAGTAGTAGTATTAGTAGTAGTAGTAATAATAGTAGTAGTAGTAGCCCCTTCTTTTCTTTATTAGCGAATTCGCGGCAATTCTCATTTTAATGAACGCGCAAAATTACCAAGAATGACTTTGATTCTAACTATTTCTCAGAAGTTTATATATTTTTTTTCCTTTCTTCTTCTTCTTCTTCTTCTTCTTCTTTATCAAAGTAATTTGTCGGAAGTATAAAGCTATTTAAAAGAAAATAAATCTCGAAGTAAAATCTAATCGAAAGGTAGCATGTTGTTTGAACTTTTATCTCATATAGGAGGAGTTCAAACTTATTACATTGTCCGTAGAACTAAGAGATCCGGTTTTGCATATGTAACAAGAATCAAAGAAAAGAAAAGAAAAGAAAAGAAAGAAATCCCTCCTCCTATTTCTAGCCCCCCCCCCAAAAAAAAACAAAAAAATAAAAAAGAAATAGAGATAGAATGAAAAGGAAAAGTTGGCGGCAAACAGTTATACGAAGTTTAGCTCGCGGCAATAGTTAACGTTTAGTTCCGCCCACCACCATGTAAAACACATTCTCTCTTGTCCAGATATTACTTTAAAGTATTTTCCTTCGTATTTCGTTTGCTTAAGTGTTGTTGTTAAAAAAAATTATACTGAAGAGAGATTTCTACTATATATAAGAACATTTTTTAGATATTAATTTGAGATTAATAATGTTAGGTGTAAACGTCTAATACGTGAAACAGAGAAAATCAGAGAGAGAGAGAGACACAGACAAAGAGAGAGAGAGAGAGAGAGAGAGAAAGAGAGATAGGCTGTATAATAAATTAACTTATATATAAACTACTTACAGTTCAATCATTTAAAATGTTACAAAAGATATCAGACTTCAAGATTAAGAGTTGAACCAATGAAAAAGATTGAGAGAGAGAGAGAAAGGTTTAGAGATCGTTTTATCAAACCACCAGCAACAAACCATTATAATAACTCGCTATAGTTAATTATTTGAAATCGAAATAAATTAGATTCGATGCGATTATTGGGAGGTGGGTTGAGGGGGCTTACCAGGCGGTCCAGGTGGACCAGGTGGACCTTCCAATATTCCTGTTGGAAATTGATCTCCGTTCAATGCAGTCGTCATCCCACGTTCACCTTTATCTCCCTTGTCGCCCTGTTAACAAAAAATAAATAAAATAAAAAAGATAAATAAATCTGTAATTAAGGTGTTTCGTATTTCAACAACAAACCTTTCATTTTATCGATTGATTTTTTTCTACTTTGCTTATGTATTTTGTTTGTTTGTATTTTTTTTATTTTTTTTTTTTTTAGATAAAATTACGAGCGTATTCGCGTGGAATAATAATACGTAATAAATCATCTCGTATAGATAAAATATGTTTATTATCCGAGACAGGGATAATAATTTGTAGGATTGTATAGGGATTCATTTAAAAGACAAAAAAAAAACAATGAAAATAAATTTGACGATTAATCCGACGATATTGAAGGGGGGAGGGGATTTGGTTAATGCAATCGTAACGATAGATCTTCCGAGATACGTGGAATTTCGTTTATGTTTCCTACGTTTCGTTGTGTGCTGATTGCATGGTGATTGTGTATTTGTATGCCGTTAGGTTTGGAATATAATACGGAAGGACACGTTTATAAGAAGTATTGAATATCGAAGTAAAATCTATCACGGAAGTAAATCGTTAAAACCCAGAGAGTGAGATGCCTTTCATGAGTTGCATGCGCTCGAACATGTTTTCCCTCATCTATGCGTGGGCACCCATATGTATATACATATATACATATATATATAACCTTTTCTTACTTTTTTTTGTTATTATTTATTTCCCCCAAGATATCTCGTAGCCTACTACTACTACTACTACTACTATTACAACTACAAGGTTACAAGAAATGGATAAACGCGTGTGAATTACGATAGTTATATACACTATCAACAACAACAAAATCAATACAAAAACAAAGTATATATATATATATATACCTTCTTCTCAACGTAAATAATTTATTTCAATATTCTCATCATTAATCTACTACCTTTGAAAAACAAAAGTTCTCAAAAGTCTTTGGATTGCGTTAAAGTTAAAAAAAGAACATGGCTTGATAAAATATGTGCGAGGATGGGAAAGATTGGTGTGAAACGTTTTTTTATTTATGCACATTTTCTATCTGTGTCCCTTAACAAAAAAAAAAAAAAAAAATAAGAGAAAAAAAAGAAGGAAAGAAAAAAAAAATTATTCGAAGAATGTAAATTTAAAAGTTATGAAATATGCATTTTTATTCTTCTCGCGTTTTCTGTAGTATAAGTTGAGTCGTCGTGAATTTTCCGAACGATATATCTTTCGATGGCGTTTCGATGTGCCAAGTGAGAGGTTTTTAGAGACGGGGAGGGGGAGGTGTGCGCGGTGGTTGACTTCTAAAGTCAAATATTTCCGAGGTAAACTCTCACGAGTAAACACTTCGCGAATCGTGAATAGTTGATAGTTTTGAAGGAAAACGTGTTAGTAGTTATCTCGATACTTATTCGCAACGTGGTGTAAAAGCATATATGTATGTATATGTATATATACATACATGTATACATTCCTTTTCAACATAGGCTTGTGAAAATTCTTATATCACGAATTAACCCCCCCCCCCATACATTCATTTTACTAATTTTTCGTAAATAACATTGTTTTCTTCTAAATGTGTCAATTAATTATTTCGATTGGTTGAATAATTATTCAAACTAAATTGAAAACTGTTGAATAAATAAATTTGTCGATTGTGATGGAAAAAAAAAAAAAAAACAAGGAAATTATTCCATACGAATTATAGGATAGGAATTATTCCAATCGATTGGAATTTGTTAATGAAATTCTAAACAGAGATTGGTGGTAATCATCTACGAAAGAAATAAAGGAAGAAAAATATGAGAAAAAAGGAGGAGGAGTAGAGGATCGTCAAGATTGTTAAGATAAATTAATAAAGTTATTAAAGAGGATTAACTAAGAGAGTAGATGGTACAGTAGATATATATATAGTAGTATATATATCGAGATGTAACGCGATAATCGATATTCCAACGTCAATATATATCTGTATATATATATTATATTAAATTAAAATTTATATATATAAATATAAATTATATTATATATTATATATAAATTATATTAAAGATGTAGTTTAAATTAAATAAAATAAATATAAATTAAATTAATATATATATATATATAATAATATATAATAATTAATATATTAATTATTATTATATTAAATTAAGTATAAATATATATATATTAAATACCGGAACGATGAGGGTAGAAAATGTCAATGCTTATGAAATCTCGAAAGTGAAAGATAGAACAAAAACAAATGAAATAATTTTACCTTAGGACCAGAAAGTCCTGGAATACCGGATGGACCAATAGGACCAATAGGTCCAGGCGCACCCTTTTCACCTGGTGATCCAACTTCACCAGGAATCCCTTGTCTTCCTTCATGTCCTGGGAGACCCTCCGATCCTGGTGGACCTGGTGGACCCGGTGGCCCAGGTTCTCCTGGTTCACCCTGTTACGTCCCAAGAGTGTTACGTTGTTAGGGTTTTCTTCTTATGCGAGAGCCCCTCGACAAGGAGTGTCTCTCGATGGTCGTTGGTTTTGTGCCATGGATGGTTGGATGGATGGATGGATGGAACAGGAAAAAAGGGACCAAGGGACGACGATGTTGTAGTAGGTTGACCGTAAAGAAAGTAAGAAAAAGAAAAAGAAGAGAAGAAAAGTAGATAAGAGTGAGTGAGTGAGTGAGTGAGAGAGAAAAAGAGAAGATAAGTGGGAAGAAATAGAAAATGGACGTGTTGTTTTTCTCGTGTATTGGAATAGAAAAAAGAAAAAAAAGAGAAAGATAGGTAAAAGAAACAAAAAAAAAGAAAATGTGTGGGGCAAAAAAAAACCGTGCGTGGAAATCAATCCGTGCGTTGTTCCCAAGTTTATCAACTCTGAGGTGAATTGTTTCCTCGACTAATTAATAAAAAAAAAAAAAGGGCTGACTAAAAACTATTTATTTATTTATCTCACTCTCTCTTTTATAGATTATTTCAAATGTGTTACCTGAGACGAATGAGAGATCTCCTACGGCTAAGAATATTGTATGTATGTGTGTGTGTGTGGGTCTGTGTGTGTGAGAAAAAGAGAGAGAGAGAGAGAGAGGAATATAACCGGTAATTAACTGATGCGCGAGTGAACGACGAAGACGACGACGATCTTCTATATATAATAAATATAAAGTACGTCTTTCTCGGCATGTAATTAAAATCCCATGGAGTAAGAAAAATAATAAAAAATGATATGAAAAGAAAGAAGAAAAAGAAGAAGAAGAAGAAGAAGAAGAAGAAGAAGAAGTAGAGGAAGAAGAAACAAAAAAATAAATAAATAAAAGAAAAGAAAGAAGGGAATGAATGTTATATATACCGATCGTGGATTAATCGAGTTTGAGATCAACCAAAAGGATCGATTAAATCCTGCAGCGACGTATTCGATCGAACGTGGATATTAAATAATATCGTTCAGTATGGTAATAATAAATATCTTTTTTTATTATATCAAAATTTTGTGCCACATTGTTGGTTTCTAATGAAATTTGAAACTACTGAACCGATCATAATGAAATTTTTGTTTATTTTGTGTGACATTTTTTCAACTTCAGTAGATAGGGTATACACATAT